ACAATGGCTTACAAATTATGATTGACCAATTTTAATTTAAATGTATATATTAGCTCCTATGAAAGCAAATGTAAGCAAACAAAAACTTCTGATATCAAATAAAAACACCTCTTAACGAGGTAAAAAACTAGTGACGATCGCACCTTCAACATACAAAAGTTCTGATATCAACATTTGTGACGAAAAATTATTACACTCTTCATTAAATAGACTTTCTAATATTTTCTCATTCGGCCCGCCCTAGCAAACTATTCCAGCCTTTTTCCCTTCACAGGCATTTTCTATTGCAGCGTGCGTCATCATTTGAATTGATTTGATTTGAATCATGATTTGAAATCAAATGAATCATGATTTGAAATCAAATGATTTGAAATCAAATCAATTCAAATCAAATCAATGATTCAATGATTTCAAATCATGATTCAAATCAAATCAATTCAATGATTTCAAATCATGATTCAAATCAAATTCAAATGATTTGAAATAAAATGAATCAATCAAATCATGATTCATTTGATTTCAAATCATGATTCAAATAAAATCAAATTCAAATCATGATTCAAATCATGATTCAAATAAAATCAAATTCAAATCATGATTCAAATCAAATTCAAATGATTTGAAATAAAATAAAATGATTTGAATCATGATTCAAATCAATCAAATGATTTGAAATTATTTGAATTTGATTTGAATAATGATTTGAAATCATTGAATTGATTTGATTTGAATCATGATTTGAAATCATTGAATCATTGATCATGATTCAAATCAATCAAATGATTTGAAATCAAATCAATTCAAATTAAATCAATTCAATTGATTTGAATCATGATTTGAAATCAAATTTGAATCATGATTTGAAATCAAATTTGATTTGATTTGATTTATGATTTGAAATCATTGAATCATTGATTTGATTTCAAATCATTTGATTTCAAATCATGATTCATTTGATTTCAAATCATGATTCAAATCAAATCAAATCAATTCAAATGATTTGAAATAAAATCAAATGATTTGAATCATGATTCAAATCAATCAAATGATTTGAATCATGATTCAAATCAATCAAATGATTTGAATTATGATTTGATTTGAATCATGATTTGAAATCATTGAATCATGAATCAAATCAATTCAAATGATTTGAAATAAAATCAAATGATTTGAATCATGATTCAAATTTGATTTCAAATCATGATTCAAATCAATTGAATTGATTTGATTTGAATTGATTTGATTTCAAATCATTTGATTGATTTGAATCATGATTCATTTGATTTTATTTCAAATCATTTGAATTTGATTTGAATCATGATTTGAAATCAAATGATTCATTTTCATGATTTGAATCATGATTCAAATCAAAAATGATTTGAAATCAAATCAATTCAAATCAAATCAATTCAATTGATTTGAATCATGATTTGAAATCAAATTTGAATCATGATTTAAAATCAAATTTGAATCATGATTCAAATCATTTGATTTTATTTCAAATCATTTGAATTGATTTGATTCATGATTCAATGATTTCAAATCATGATTCAAAATCATGAATCATGATTTGAAATCAAATGAATCAATCAAATGATTTGAAATCAAATCAATTCAAATCAAATTCAATTGATTTGAATCATGATTCGAATTTGATTTTATTTGAATCATGATTTGAAATCAAATGAATCATGATTTGATTGATTCATTTGATTTCAAATCATGATTCAAATCAAATGATTTGAAATAAAATCAAATGATTTGAATCATGATTCAAATAAATCAAATGATTTGAGATCAAATCAATTCAAATCAAATTCAATTGATTTGAATCATGATTTGAATTTGATTTTATTTGAATCATGATATGAAATTTGAAATTAATTTGAATCATGATTTGAAATCAAATTTGATTTGAATTATGATTTGAAATCATTGAATCATTGATTTGATTTCAAATCATTTGATTTCAAATCATGATTCATTTGATTTCAAATCATGATTCAAATCAAATCAAATCAATTCAAATGATTTGAAATAAAATCAAATTCGATTTGATTTGAATCATGATTTGAAATCATTGAATTGATTTGATTTGAATCATGATTTGAAATCATTGAATCATTGATTTGATTTGATTTCAAATCATTTGATTTCAAATCATGATTCATTTGATTTCAAATCATGATTCAAATCAAATCAAATCAATCAAATCATGATTCAAATCAAATCAAATCAATTCAAATGATTTGAAATAAAATCAAATGATTTTTTAAGTTTTGAAAATTTGATATGACGTTCATCACATCGATATAAAAAACTTTTCTTCTACCACTTTTGGAAAAACTCGCTAGTTTAGCGGGAAAACAGCTATAAATAGCTAAAATTTGGAAAGCCGTAACTTCTATACTACTAAAGCTACAGACTTGTGCTGCATCTCGTTTGTAAGGTATTTTGAAATGCTATAAACGCCTTCTATATGCAATTTGTGTAAATGTAATAGTTAAAAAAATATGAACACAAGACAATTTTTTAAACCTTTTTTTTTTAGCTTTTTTTATATTTCTCAAAAACGGCTCTCCTTAAACTGTGTAGACCTTGAGATTCCTTAAATTTTGGTATATAACACATTACTGTAAAAAGTCACGTTTAAAAGTTATTTTTATACGAAAATAGCCACTGTTGCCAGCTCGAACAATTAACGCTCCCTGAGTATTGAATTTTGTGGGAGGGTATCCGAACTGTATTTTAGGGTCATGGAATCAGTAAATTTGCACTTAAGACGAATAAAAAATATTAGAAAGTCTATTTAATGACGAGTGTAATAATTTTTCGTCACAAATGTTGATATCAGAACTTTTGTATGTTGAAGGTGCGATCGTCACTAGTTTTTTACCTCGTTAAGAGGTGTTTTTATTTGATTGATTTATAGTCGGTAAAAATACTTAAAACTATTATTTAAAGTAAAATATTAAAATAAAATTGGGATACATTATATTTTAACATTCATTTAACATAACATTTATTAGACTTTTTCAGGCACAGTTAAAATTGATTTAAAGTAAATACTCATTTGTTTAGCAGGTTTAAGCAAAATGTTTTAAAAAATTTTATTCAGAAATTCTGGATACCTATGTAGATGATTCCTCTTTAAAGACCCCACTACTTGAAATTCAGTTCCAGTTTCTAAGTTCTAACCTTGGGGAATAGTTTTATAATGAGGCTGGGCTCTCAAGCTTAATGCTTTTGCCCTCCCGTTGTTTCAAGTTTTACTCGATTTTTGAGTGTCGACAGGGCTCACACCTGGAACAGATGGCACAGGTGTGGCATCGTCTGGCCGTCTAGACGCCTTTTTCCCCTCCCCCAACACCGATTTCCCTGATTTTCGTGGCTCAATTGCCACTTGGCCGCCTTCAATAAAATAAATAAGTCGTGCAGTTAGACACATGGCGTTTTTAAAGAGACCTCTGAAGCTTCTCAATTGTTCGAGGCAGTGCTGCCATCACTCAGCTTGAAAAACAGGACAGATAAGCCACAAAAAACAGGGAAAAAAAGGACAAAAAATTTAAGAAAAGGACAAAAAAAAAGGACAAAAGTAAATGTGCCTACATTTTTCTGGTTTTACCAATGGGTTATATATTTACTTAATATAAATGGATTTTAAATAAAATTTAATTATGTAATGATCTACTGCGCCCGACTCACAACCTTCTTTGTTTGATCATTTTACCATGGTAAATTTTTGTGCGTATACGTAATAATCTAAAATTATTATAATAATTAATGCATTTCAAGTAACTATATTCGTAATACAAAAAAATTAAATATCTGCGTCAAATCCGAAAAAGAGTCGTTCAAATCTGAATTTTTTTTCTGACAAAAAAGCAGAGAGTAAAAATTAAGAAATTTTAAAAGTGCTTTCCTCTTTTTTTTGCTACAGAAAAAATCGTACTATAAAGAAAATCCATCGACTGCTTTACGTCTCTTTGATAATTTGTAAAAAGAATTATTTTTTAAGTGCCGAACTGTAAGAATGATGGTTAAAAAGGCATTTTAGCAAATAAAAACAGGTTTATACACTTTCGGCTAGCAAAAATAATACTCAAAACCTTTTTTTGAAAAAAGGATAGATTTCCGGATAGGGGATGTTTGAAATTTTTTCCGGATAAAGCCGTTAAAAAAAGGACAGATCTGTCCGGAAAAAGGACAAAATGGCAGCACTGGTTCGAGGGGTTCGACGACACCTCGGAGAAGGCCTCGCAATGGAATTCAATTAGGGAGAAATGTATAAATTGTATTTCTGTGCGCGGTTCTTCGTCCACTTTCCCTATGACTACTGCCTACTGACCACAAAGAATGGAAAAGCGGGGGAAAACGGGGAAAAGCGAAAGGAAATAAATAAAAATGCCAAACGGAAGCTGCCAACGAAAATGGCCGCAACAATGGCGGAGGCGCCACCGCCTTTTAGCTGCCCTTTGTTTATTTGTTTCGCATTTCGAAGAGCGTCAAGTGCTATTGGGCGGGAAAATGGGAAAGTGGGAAAATGGGGGAGTGGCCTGCGGTTTGGTTGAGGCAGCGAGCCAACAATTCAATAATCAAAAGAAGTATGAAAATTAATACAAAAGGACGGTGATGATTCACCGCTTGGCTGGGAAAACGGGGGAAAATTGGGAAAATTCTTAGCGGGTACACAAACCATCTGCCAATGGCCGCCGGCCCATGAAAACGCGGTTTCTCTTTTATTTTCCCCCGCATTGTTTCATTGTTTAAAAATTTTCTGTGGAAATTGTAACAACTGTGACCATCATTAGGGCGACATGTGCGTGTGTTGAGGTCGTTGGGAAAAATGCGAAAAGTGTAGGAAAAGCGTGGGATGAAAGATGGCCGCAGGAGCCTTGAAATTCATGCGAATTTAAATCCGAGACTTTAAGACACTGCCATTTGCACTTTATAAACACAGACTGAGTAATGAATTTTTTCCTCATTTTTCTTCTTTGCAGACCAGGCGACAATCACACAGCGACTACCGAGATTTATGAAGCAAGATAGCCGGCATAAAAGTCAATGAACAGCGCTTTTATTAGGCATACGCCCCCACATAAATTACTAATCAAGGCGAAACTAATAAGAGGGCTTTACATTTATTGAAATTATGATTAATGATGGGAGCTAGAGCGGCGATGAAGCCGATGCCGAGAGGCATCAGGTCAGCTGGGGTTTATTGCTCATACGCCGCGTAAGCCCGCCGAAAAAGACTGCCGATGGCTGAGTCTGCCGTGTCTGTAGGGGATTGGCGGCGCAGAAGCCACAGAAACCAGAGAAACCACCACAAACTGATCTCCACCGCCACGCTGACTTTGTTCGTGCTCTTCCTGAGCAGCTGGATAGCCTATGCGGCTCCTCAGCTGGTGGAAAATGAAACGGAGTCGTCTTCGCAGGACTTTAACAGCAGCAGCGCCTTCCTGGGGGCCATAGCCTCCGCCTCGGCCTCGGGATCCTTCTCCCCGATGAACAGCAGTCCCATTGCCATAGTCTCATACCAGGGAATCACGAGCAGTAATCTAGGGGACAGCAACACCACCTTGGTGCCCCTTTCTGATACGCCTCTGCTTATAGAAGAATTCGCCGCCGGGGAGTTCGTATTACCACCCCTAACATCTATTTTCGTGAGCATCGTCCTGCTGATCGTCATCCTCGGCACCGTGGTGGGCAATGTCCTGGTCTGCATAGCCGTCTGCATGGTCAGGAAGCTGAGGAGGCCTTGCAACTATCTCCTGGTGTCCCTAGCTCTCTCTGATCTCTGTGTAGCTTTGCTAGTGATGCCCATGGCCTTGCTATATGAGGTCCTCGAGAAGTGGAACTTTGGGCCGCTGCTCTGCGACATCTGGGTGTCCTTCGATGTGCTCTGCTGCACTGCCTCGATCCTCAATCTGTGTGCCATCTCCGTAGATCGCTACCTGGCCATCACGAAGCCTTTGGAGTATGGTGTAAAAAGGACTCCCAGGCGAATGATGCTGTGCGTGGGCATCGTCTGGCTGGCCGCCGCCTGCATCTCACTGCCGCCGCTGCTGATTTTGGGCAACGAGCACGAGGACGAGGAGGGCCAGCCCATCTGCACGGTGTGCCAGAACTTTGCATATCAGATTTATGCCACGCTGGGCTCCTTTTACATACCGCTCTCCGTGATGCTCTTCGTGTACTACCAGATCTTCAGGGCGGCGAGGAGGATTGTGCTGGAGGAGAAGCGGGCGCAGACGCATCTGCAACAGGCGCTGAACGGCACAGGATCGCCGGTGGCCCCGCAGGCTCCTGGCACTCTTGGCCACACGGAACTGGGTTCGGGCAATGGCCAGCAGCGGCACAGCAGTGTGGGCAACACCTCGCTGACCTACTCCACCTGCGGGGGCTTGAGCAGCGGGGGAGGAGCCCTCGCAGGACATGGCAGCGGAGGGGGAGTGAGTGGCTCCACTGGATTGCTAGGATCGCCGCACCACAAGAAGCTGCGCTTTCAGCTGGCCAAGGAGAAGAAGGCCTCCACCACTCTGGGCATCATCATGTCCGCCTTCACCGTCTGCTGGCTGCCCTTCTTCATCCTCGCGCTCATTCGTCCCTTCGAAACGATGCATGTGCCGGCCTCGCTTTCGTCCCTGTTTCTCTGGCTGGGCTATGCCAACTCCCTGCTGAACCCCATCATCTACGCCACCCTGAACCGGGACTTTAGGAAGCCCTTCCAGGAGATCCTGTACTTCCGCTGCTCCAGTCTGAACACCATGATGCGGGAGAACTACTACCAGGATCAGTACGGCGAGCCTCCGTCGCAGCGGGTGATGCTGGGCGATGAGCGGCACGGGGCCAGGGAGAGCTTTCTCTAGGGGATTTCTAGATGGAATCCAGCCAGGATAAGGGATTAGCTGATGAGCTGACGAAAGATCTTCTCTAGGTTTCCGGAAGAAGGCGACTCCTCTGCTCTCGACACACACTCACTTAAGTACACCCACTGGGGTGAGAACTAAAGATCTAAATATAATAGAAAATGTAAAGTGCTAGGCGGAAAATTAGTTTTTGGACTGTTTGACGAAGATTATTCTTGGGGTTTTGTAAAGAGATCCATAAAATAATTCCTGAAAAAAATCTATTAAAATAAAAAACATACTTAGTTGTTAAAATAATTTATTTCAGAGCTCTAAAAAATATTAAAAAAAATTAAGAACCTTGAAAAAAAACTTTTAAAAATAATTTAATATTTTCTTATTGAATGGTTTTCCATTTTGAGTTTATAGAACAAAAGAAATATATTCCGAAAACTGTCCAAAGATTACTTTCCACCTTTCAACGGCCACCCCAGTACCCACACACACATGGATATTTGTATGTAGTAGTGTTAGTAGTGCGTATCTCTGTATATGTGCACCGCCCCCTGAAAATTCGCATTATACGTAGGTATATTTCAAGTGCGAATTGTAGACGACTCCTCTAAATGTAACTTGTTGTTGTAATTTTAAATGTAGAACTAAGCAATACCAAACAAACACACCTACACACACACACACACGGTTGTAACTGTGACAGGTTTCTACGGTTCCTTTTATGTTTCGAAAACAATCAGCACCGGATAAGAGACACAATCGTTATCGAATCTATTGATACCTCCCCCGAAAAAGCTCCTAGAAAAACCCTTGAAATCCCCAATCTAAAATTTGCCAGCGTAGTTAGTTAATTTGCGATACTCAAACTGAGCCAAAAATTAAATTTACAAACTACTGATTAACCTAGATATATTTATTATGTTTTGTGCAAGAAGCTATCCACTGTAAATACCCAGCCATCGGCGGCTCTGTCTATAAAATAAATATATATTTAAAAAATATATAGAAAAGTAGCCTATGTATACACTACGCTCAAGTGAGATGAACTAAATTGTATTTTGTAACTTTCTGCATTAGTCTTTCGTTGTATTTTGTATGAAAAGTCACGCCTCTCTGTGATACCAAACATTAAGCATTACTTTTATGTTTAGATCGAGAAAATCGAAAAGCTGCATCAAAACGTAATACACACATACCTATACATATAGATATAGTCAACTAAGTGTGCATGTTTTTATTGTATATGTATGTAGCACTGCGAGAAGTGCATTATGATATTCGCAAAACAAAGCAACAAAACAAACAAAAACAAGCAAAACCAACCGACAAAAAACGATTAAAACTGAGCTATTCGTAACATGATGAGATAAACTATCAAACTATTTACATAACCCACACGCATACACACCCACCACCACCCCCCACCCACACACACACCCATGAAATTAAAGTGAAATTGAAATTGGAAAATGGAAAATCGTTGAAGGAATGAAAATGAAAAACAAACAAGGGCAAACGAGCATGACAAAACTAAGCGCAGCTAATTATACGCAAACCGAACTAAAGTTCATTACAAAAACAAACATCAAATATTATAATTAAAAACAAAAAACAAGCAAAGTAATTGAGAATAACAAACAAATAAAAACTAAAAACACTTTCAGAGTGAAGCTTACAAAACTGCAGAACTGCATTTGAAAACTGTTTTCCCAACAAAAAAAAACATGCGGAAATTAAGGCATCAAATAAAAGGCAAACCGTATCAATGTAATTTCTTGATCTTGAAGTTTTTATTAATGTTATGGGGGATGGGAAATCTATGGTAATGGTAAAGTATTAAATAATATATCTTAAAATAACGGTAAAAAACAACTAAAAATTCTAATTATAAAAATTTTTTTCTTTAAAAAAAAATTGTTTTTTTACCAAAACAATTGAAATATTTATCCAAATATAAAGTATTATACCTTGTTAAACTCGTAATAAAATTTCCAACCGATTGGCATTTAAACCTAAAAATTTAGTTTCTGTCAAATTTTTGCAAAAAATAAAAATTGTAAAAATTTGACAAAATATTATTTCTTTTAAATCAGATGGAAAGTGAAGGGGATCTATTTGTTTTATTGTATGCTGTTCAAAGCGGTAAGAATTTTTGGTTTGGGAAAATTTTTGCCAAACATCTAGCTAAAAAACCTACAAAATAAATTTTATTTTTACCAAAACCCAGAAACTGATTTACCAACACAAAAAAATAATCAGTAATGTGGTGGTAGATAAGTAGATTGCTTGCTGTTTAACGCTGGCTTACTCCTAGTCACCTTTGCAAGTGACATTTAACCAAGTGAACTATATTACAAGACACTTTTAGACACCCTTGACAAGCGAGTTAAAATTACCAGAGATTTTTCCTTTTATTCCAGATAAAATGGGCTCCTTGGTATAGTATATTTTTTTAGCTGTACAAATAAATGCTGTGAACGGCGACAGGTTTAACTTTCTGCAGCTCATACAAAAAGCGGGTAAAATCAGAACTGAATTCAAATCCAACAAATGCGAATCGCAGCAGCTGCTGGCAGTTTGTGTAGCTGAATGTCAACTCAATGCGCAATTTAACTGACTGGCGGGCCAAAAAACAGAGGAGCAGCTGCAAGCCGGTCGCCCATCGACTGCATTCAACATTCAGCTCATTGCGAATGACAAGTTGGCCAAACGTGCAAAATGCACAGAAACGGAAACGGAAGTGAAAAGCGAAAAGCATAAAGGGGTGAGAGCGGCGAGAGAGAAAGGGAGGGAGAAAGCGAAAGCGACGCCAACATGGCTTTCCTACCAAAAGGCAAACACTAACAAACTAACAAACATCTGCGGCGGAAGCCCTCGAAATGTGCTATGCTGTATGCAAATATCTGCACATTCCTCAGTCCCACTTTATGTACTTTTTGCACTTTCTGCGAGGCATAAACAAGGCAGGCTGGGTCCTAAGGATCCTAAGCAGCCGAGATTCCAGGAAACAGAAGCTCGAAAAAGGGTTTGACAATGACAAAGTGAGGCGGATCTGACGGCGCCAGCAGCAGAATCTCACCCGCTTCACACTCGCAAAAAGTATCACACAAATTTGACAGAGTTTTGGTATGTTTCCTGGGAATACACAGAAAGAAAAAAGTGTCAGGTGCGGAAAATAAACTAATGTTTTTACTAGAATATTTCAAATCTCTATAATTCTAGAAAATATAGATATAGAATATTATAATCTAAAAGAGTCTCTCGGAGATTCTCTGACTTCGAAGAAAAGAGAAAGAAGCAATGTGACAACTTAAATTACGTGGGTGGGAGCGAGAGGTAAAAATTTCGACCATTTCAAGTCAAAACTGATACCACATAATGTGAATTCGATCATCGTTTCATATCAAATTGTTGTTGAGTGTAAAAATAAATGTCTATATAGTGGGTTTTTAATTGATATCACAATTTTTAGGTGACGAAAACGAATTCCGTTGGAGAGAAGTAAGGACCCTAAAAATTTCTCGTAAAAATCACATTACTTCTCCGACATTTCTCGGTGCACTTGGAGCTCCTGGCTGGCTGCTGATAAATGATGATTTTACGCCCGCTTCTCGGCACCACCGACTACCGACTACATGCTAGGATGCCACTTTATGAGGCAGCCCGAAAAAAAGGACTCTCGCCGAGCACAAGGCCACGCCTTCCGCCTCGGATGTGGAATAGGGGATATGTGTTCTCCGTGCGCTTTGCCTTTCTGTTAAGCGGATTTCGGTATTCAAATAGCTGCGTTCGGCACGCAAAAAAATGCCGAAATGAAAAACTAGCTGACGAGTGCAGTGAAATTTCTGCTGCAGCCAAAGGAGCGTAAATTTTATCGTATTGCCAGCAGTAAAGTCTGCAGTTTTACGACCTCTTTTTTTTTTCTATTAGCAGTTACGTGACACTAATGCGACGTTTATGAAACATCTCTAAAAGTCCTTGAGAACTTTCTCTGTTTTTTTCCTTTTAGAAAGAATCGCTTATGAAAATGCCTGCAGTTGTCGGGCTCGTAACGGTAAAGTGTTAACAAGCACTCGCCACATAAATCAACAGACAGCAGGACCCTTTTCTCTGCGAGAGATCCTGGGAAACAATAAAAAGAAAGCCTAGCCAAAAGGCAGCGTCACGTAACGAAAAACCCCAATTGAGCTCAATTTCCTGTGAGTGGCACTCTCGTTTTTTCGGGATGCTAGTAAAAAGGCCGCCAAAGTGGCTAGATTTGTTTCGATAACGCAATCGAAAATCGATGGCAGCCAAATGTCAAATGTGCTGCAAGGTAATACGACAAATTTCCAAATGTATTTCGTCCCCAAAAAAAAAAAGAAATGGACTCCGGTTTCAGCAAATGACTTTGGGCTTCTCCGCTGTTAAATTTAATAAATATCAAAGCAGCATCTCTCCCCGAAATGGGAATTTAATATTTTCTGTGGGTATTAAATGGCTCCGAGGGGCAGCGGCGGCAAAAATATAAAGTGTAATCAAATGTTATTTACTTTTCGTACTTTTGTGACAATAATCTGAAAAACACGTGTTGGCTGCTGCTCGGCTGCTTCATTAAAAACTTGCCTTCGCCAGCTTTGTTGAGCCAAATATTGCGTATCCGCCGGGTAAGCCGAGGGCAGCCCGAAAGTATGCAACACGCACACCTTTGGCTTTGTCAAAGTGTATTCAAAACAAATTATGTAAATTATTTCGAGCGCTAACAACTCCATTTCAACGTGGCTGCGATAGGAATCTGGGATCTGCTCCCTATTTCCATTCCAATTCCCTTTTCCTCCCATCCGCATTGTTATAATTGTGGAAAATGCTTTATTAAACGTCGTCCTGCGTGGCGCTTGCGTCACTTTCACCCCCGAAAAAGAGGGAAAGCACGGGGAAAAGTGAGCCCGAATGTCTGAGAATTTGTACAAAATTAAGTTGATTAAATGGACTTAGCAGCGCGATTACACGCAAGGCTGCCCTTCGCTTTTCTCTCGGCTTTGGGTTGGCACTCCACACACATTCGGCGTACATTTTTCATTCCTTCTCGGAATTCATGGCCTTCGCTTTTTCGAAGGCACAAGGAATGGGCGACAAAACTTTGACCATTGAAATCTCGGCCAGCAGTCTCGTGGGAGCAGTCGGCTTTAGTCTCGTTAAATGCCGCATGATTAACGCTTTGCTCTACAAGACAATTGATAAAGAATGGAGCAAGGCAAGCCAGAGGAGCCAGAAAAACCAGAGGACCTCAAGGAGCTTTAAGCCGTGTCGGGCATCAAAAGGAATTACATTTCCGAGGAGCCAAGAACTGCAAACAATGGACACTGCAGCTTAAGTAAAGGGTAGCTGACAGGCCTTCTTCTAAACTGGATAACGTGAGGGGTTTTTCCTGATTCGATTTTATGTTCTCATGTCCACGAAAGGGAAACTAAAATATTAGGAAAATATATATTTAAATAAGTAATTAGAATTTTAAATAAAGTATACTTGATATTGAAAATTTGTATGTTAATTTATCACAAACATTATAATATTCTATAATTTTTTATAGGTGCTTGTAAGATGTTAGATAAATTCCATTTAAATTTATAATTTTACTGTATGTTATTTTTTTAAGTTTTAGGGCTGGTAATTAACCTAATTACTCAATTTATATTGGATATATTTTTTATTACTACTCGCCTGATGGGTATTTAACTTCCTCACCATTCTAGTTTTAGAACTCTCGCCTTTCCTTCAACTCGACAATTAAGGTCTGTGATTTCGGACCAAAACGGAAGTGCTCGAGCAGCCATAGAAAAGCAAAGCATTTAATGCACGGCTCACTTTGTTGCTCACTTTTCTTTGTTTTTTGTGGGCCAAAAAACAAAACAGCAAAGAAAAGAAAGGAAAAGAAATGGAGCCCAAAAAAAAAGAAAGGAAAGGAATTTCCTCTAGAGCCATGCTGCGATGGCTGCTGCAGCATTCGCAATGATTAATGTGCTCCTGCACAAAGGAGCCGCATTAATGGGGCGGTCAGCGAGGCGTTTTCCCAGCGACAGCTAGTGGCTTCATTTTAGCAGGAAAAAGGAAAATCCTGAAGGGAAATTCCCTGAACCCCCCATACACTCCCCGAAAAAAATTGCATCACGTCTGGCTGAAAAATCCCGTTTTCGGCAATCAGCGACTAGCCCCCATAAATTAACGCGGCGTATGATTAATATTCGGTGTTACACCGCCTAATGGCCGACTCGTGAGCAATTCGAAAGTACTCAGGCCGTAGTTACAGTGTACGATCTTAATTTCGCTGGCTGCTGACGCTTAAATCTTTATTAATATGCATGGTTGGGCCATGGAGGAATGGAGGATTTTGGGAGGATTTTGGGTGCAGCTCGTCTCATCCGTGCGGCGGTTGAAAAATGGTTTCCATTAGTGCCAGCAAATTTGCTCGCTTGTCCCGGGCAGCACAGCAACAAAAAACAACGAAAACTGAACGGAAACTGCATTGATTTTGTGGCACGTGGCATGTTCTGCCCGCCTGTCATTTATGTTAATGATACAACCGAATTGCCATTGGGCTGCGGTCGAAAATCGGCGTTGAAAATATACGTATATTTTTTGAAAAGAGAGAAGGTAGTTAAGCAAAATTTTCTCTTAGATTTTTAACCAAAACTCCATCAATTGTCTTTTTAAACGACCTTTAACTGCTTTATAATAATTTTTTCGTGACTAGATATTCGCAAACTTTATGGGGTAGCAGTAAAATAATATTAAAAGTAAATTTTTTTTATTTTTGCATTTAGCATTCCTCTTTGTTATTAATTTAATAAAAATATTTTTTGTAACTTACCAATAAGCATTTGATCAATTTTTTATAACATGTTAGAAAACGATAACTAAATAAAATGTCAAAAAAGAATAATTAAATAAAAGATCCTTGTGAAAGCTGTCACTTAATTGTCGATCGAGTTTACACAATTCAAAAATTCACATTAATTTTAATCGATGTTTGACCATGGATCACCATGGAGCTGATGCTCCAGAGGGTAACCTCCATCACCACCATCGCGGTTCCCACCAGGGATCCCCGGATCCTGCGCCCCCAAGTTCTCCGCATGAAGGACATCATTCGCCTGGGATGTCACATCATGGAGATCATGGAGGCGATCACACGAAGCACGGAGATCACGGGGATCATGGAGGAGGTGGAGGTCACGACATGACCATGTCGATGTTCTTCCACACCGGCGATTCGGAGACCATTCTCTTCAAGTTCTGGCGCACTGAGTCCGCCATGGCCCTGACCTTATCCTGTCTGCTGATTTTCCTGATAGCCGTGCTCTACGAAGCTCTCAAATTCTTTAGGGAGTGGCTTTTTGCCAGGAACAGGAGAAGATTGGAGGGCGGCAGAGATAATTATAATCCGCCCAGGCGGTACAGAGAGGCCAACTACAACTACAACCAGCCGACATATCCGCCGAGGAATCCTCAGCAGACTGGAACCCAGATCTACGCCTATCGTCCCAGATCGCCATCGATGCCGCCGCTGCAGCACACAGGACATGGTTCTCCGCCGGGCCATTCCTCGCATATCCTGACGCCGCCGACCCATCATCACATTCAGGAAAATCCCAATATTTCCGCAGGAAGTCGGGGGTCCAGGGTGAAGGCATTCTGCTCCTGGCTGCACCTCCTGCAGACCTTCCTGCACGTCCTGCAGGTCTTCATATCCTTCCTCCTCATGCTCGTCTTCATGACCTTCAACGTGTGGCTCTGCATAGCTGTTTTGCTGGGCGCCGGCGTTGGTTACTACATATTCTGCGCCTTCAAAACCAACATCCAGGAGCACTGCAACTGAACGAGCCGAAAGAAAACCGAAAAAAAGGACCCAGGACCAAGACGAAACGAGACGAGCTGTCTAGGACCACTGCTAATGTATTTTTCTAATTAAAGCAGGCTGTAAAAATCATAACGGCTCGGGTACCCGGCCTAATTGTTAATGTTTATGGCTCGTAAAACAATGAATGCAGCATCTTCTGCTGGCGAAATTAAGGGGCATTTGTGCGTGTGTGGGTGTGCTTGTGCCTATGGCTAACTGGTCGTATGCGCAATCTAGGGGGATAGGGTAAAAGGTGATGGGTAAATGGGGTATGCCAAATTTGGCATAGGAGTGGTTTGAAATTAAAAATTAAATAATAAATTAAATATTAAATAAATAAAATACAAATTCGCAATAATTTTCAAGTAACTAATTTATAATAGTTACAAAAATTACATAAAATCCATACTAATTTAGTTTTTCTTAGAAAATAAATAAAAGACCCCCATAATTTTTCCAGAAATGTCGGCCCACATCTTTTGGTATCTCAGCGTATTGCCCAGTTGCTAAAGTAAATTTCATACATTTTAACGCGTTATTCGGATATTTTTGTATCTGCAGCTTTATGGTTGGCCCGCATTTACGAGATGGCCCACATCCCCGTGTGTTTTGGTTTTCGCCTGGAGGATGAGGATGAGCAGGCCCAGGTGAGCCGAGGATACCAAGGATACTAAGGATGCCACCGTTTATTTGGCCGTGTCTGGCGCTTTCATTACGCCATAATTATTAGGGCGATAAAGCAGCGCCGTGTTTACATTTCGGCACATGGAAAATGGAAAAACCCAGACCGAATTGAGATGGAAATGGCATGGAAATGGACGGGCTGCCGCCATTGTTGTCGGTCAGTTATCGGCGCTTCCACTTTCAATTAATATTTTAATAAGCTGACTTTACGCCGTTTTCCGAGCGGATAACGCAATTCGCCTCGTCGCACACAGAGAGATTCGCAGGAAGAAGGCCGTGGAAGTCCTTCGTCGGTTGGTCAGAAGGCAGAAGTCCCAGAAACACAGAAGCCCAGAAGGCGGCTTTAATAATTCACCCACAAGCGTGCAGGTTTACCTTTACGGGCATGTGCCTTTCGAAACAGCCCATTTGCAAGTCCCTCAAGGGAAAGCGACTTGGCCAAATGCATGCCCATCGGCGGAACCGGAAATGCGTCGATGCATAACAGGTGTACAAAGCAGTGCTGCCATCACTCAGCTTGAAAAACAGGACAGATAAGCCACAAAAAACAGGGAAAAAAAGGACAAAAACTTTAAGAAAAGGACAACAAAAAAGGACAAAAGTAAATGTGCCTACATTTTTCTGGTTTTACCAATGGGTTATATATTTACTTAATATAAATGGATTTTAAATAAAATTTAATTATGTAATGATCTACTGCGCCCGACTCACAACCTTCTTTGTTTGATCATTTTACCATGGTAAATTTTTGTGCGTATACGTAATAATCTAAAATTATTATAATAATTAATGCATTTCAAGTAACTATATTCGTAATAATAAAAATATCTATCTATTAAATATCTGCGTCAAATCCGAAAAAGAGTCGTTCAAATCTGAATTTTTTTTCTGACAAAAAAGCAGAGAGTAAAAATTAAGAAATTTTAAAAGTGCTTTCCTCTTTTTTTTGCTACAGAAAAAATCGTACTATAAAGAAAATCCATCGACTGCTTTACGTCTCTTTGATAATTTGTAAAAAGAATTATTTTTTAAGTGCCGAACTGTAAGAATGATGGTTAAAAAGGCATTTTAGCAAATAAAAACAGGTTTATACACTTTCGGCTAGCAAAAATAATACTCAAAACCTTTTTTTGAAAAAAGGATAGATTTCCGGATAGGGGATGTTTGAAATTTTTTCCGGATAAAGCCGTTAAAAAAAGGACAGATCTGTCCGGAAAACGGACAAAATGGCAGCACTGGTACAAAGTGAGCTGTGCAGGTACAAAATGGCACACATAAACCATGGCGATGTGTGGAATATTCGTTGAATGGGTTAGGTTACTTAAAGCCATCTGAAGTGGCCAAAGGAGTTGAGAAACATTTCATATTTATGACAAACATAATTATAATTGTAAAAAAAGTATTCATTGATAAAAATAAATATTGAATACCCAGGTAAATGTTTTATAATTAATTCATAGTTTTCTATTCAATTTAAACGTTTTATCCTATGATTTTTAAATTTAAACTTTAAAACATACAAGAAAATCCCTCAAAAAATCCAATCATTTAGAAAAATGTATAATTGTCATTTCAGTTTTTTTTAATGATTGTCAGTTATTGGTTTTCAAATTGTTTCACGAATAACAAATCCAAACTAAGCGCTATCGCAATTAAATGCGATGAATTGAGTGGGACAAGTAATTACCCATCTGCATTACAGAAACTTTTATTATTTCCAAGAAAAGTTATACGCCAAGTGCCCAATTAATGGAAAACGTCCAATTCTCCGTTTTCATTATTAACAGTAAAGCCCAGGTCGTGGAAATGGGCTGGCAAATAGGCCAGAAAGGTGGACTCGGTGGCCAAATTGCAGAGCTGTGGTTTCATGGCCGCGTAGAAGACCCTTTCCACCTCCATGATGGCTTCCAGGAATCTATTGGTGTGCTGCTCCCTGTGCCTTTTGGCCACTTCCCTCAATTTGGCCAGGTCGTTGAGTCGGTTTCCGCATGGTAGAGAGGGTATGTTCACCAGACTGCTTCGCATCACCCAAGTGATTTGGTCCATTACCACCTTATCCTTGTTAAAAATCCTTTCTTTTTCCTTGTGCGAGTAACGTTTACCATAACGCAGACGTATCCATTCGATGAGATAGGGCACGGAGTGAACATCTGGCAGGGTGGGCAGAACATATCTCTTATCCTGGGCCACTTTCTCAAGACCCAAACGAAGCATCTCCTTCATAAGGGGGATATTCTCGGGATCGTAGAACTCCTGACCAAAACTTAAGCGATCTTTGTGCTTTTCTCTTCTCATTTCCTCGGCTCTTTTTCGCTGTAGCCTCTCCAGTTCCCTGTGAAAGGTCTTCACATCCTCAGAAAAAACCCGCTTGGCTGCCCGATCCACCATTGCATCCAGGGAACCCTCTTCCTCGCCATCCAAAGCCGCACTCAGGTACTGAACATCATCGTCGATAGCCCGCACAAAGGCCTCCTTCAGACGCATCCTTTCGTCGTCCAAATGAGTCCTGTGCAGCGAGCCAAACAACTCACGATAGTTGAACTTGAAGCGACTGGATCCTGGAAGTCCCAGTTCTAAGAGCTTGGGTTCTTGAAGAGGAGGAGAAATGAGTTCCGAAACCTCCTTCTCATCCTCTTCATTGGAGCAAAGTTGGAGAAACTGCATGAGGCTACTGGGTCGCTGTTGTAGGGTTCTCTCTATAGGTAAACCCTTTTCTGGATTGTACATATGACACTTGGCGCAGTTTAATGGTTCTGGTTTAAAGTCGAGACAACCTGCTAGAATGGGTGTTTCTCCTTTTAAAATCTTGACATTAATATCTGCAAATTCACTATTGCGATGAAGGGTTTCCCGTTTTTCCTCGATTATTTCAAACTTTTTCTCAGAAGTTCGCTTACTCTTGAATTTTCTCTTGTTTCTATTTCTGGAACTTGATCGGGACCTACTTTTAGATCGTGATCTAGTCTTAGTTATGGTTTTGGACTCTGCTCCACTGGGTAACCTTTTTCTACTACTAGATCTGCTACTTCTACTACTTCTTCTTTTTATAACAGGTCTTTCCGGTGGAATATCCCCCTCGAAGGCTTGGCATCTCTCCTCCTCGAAAGCATCGCATTTGGTTTTAGATTCTAGGCAATCAGGGGACTTCATAGAACTTCCCCCAAAGAGTTGCTTCCTGGTGGAGGACAATCTGGCCCTGGCTGCCATGTCCTGAAATCGCTTCAAGTAGCAGGCACTCATTTCTTCCAGCTCCTGAATCAACCGCTTTCGCCGCCTTTCCTCGGCTCTATTTCTAACCATTATGAGCTCTTCTCGCTTTCGCTGCTTCAGCATTTCCAGTTGGACCTTCAGGGATCTTTCCATCTCCCGAATGTACTGATGATGGGCACACAGGGACTCCACATCCTGCGGTGGCAACGAGGCCGCCTTGAAGGACTCGAAAATACTGTTAATTTCCTGGAATATAATGGATTTTCCCACTCGATGGGCTTCGTTTAGGGTATAACTGCCAAACCAGCGGGACCAGAGATAGGTTTCCATAGGTTCCTCATCAATTTCTAAAAGACACGCTGGAGTTTCGGGATAATCGGAGAGAAATTTGCGTTCCTGACGGAATCTTCCTGGAATATTGGGTTCCTGAAAGTAAGGTGATAGGGGGGCTGATATCTTTCTTTTTTTGGCCAACTCCCTCTGTCGTTCCTGCTCCCTTTCTTTCTTTGTCCTCTGACTTCTTTGTCTCAAAACCTCAGCTTTATCTCTATCTCTTTGAGAGGAATGTGGCAATGGAAGCCAGCGATCCAATTCCCTGAGAGTGGGAAACAAATCCAAACGGAAGATGGTCGACATGATAATCTGCTCGTTAGCACTGTAAGTCTGTCCGTGATTCGGCGACTTGTAGCACATTTCCATGAGGAACCACAGGAAGGCCAGATCATTTCCTCGACTCAGTTGGATCACCTGATGAATGGTTTTCCAAGGCGGCGTGGGATGCAAGCCCAAGTGCACCATCACCTTGGCCACCTCCGAAACCGTCTTCTTGTCCATATTATCCCTCAGAATATCCGACAATCGACTGGCCGCCGCCATCTGGGATTGGGAGAGTCCACGGTACCAACTGATTCCCCTCTGGGTCACCTTGTATCCTTTAATTGGGGTCAAGTTTTCAAGAATGCTGCTCCAAGTGCGCTTAGTTATGCCAACTTTGTGATTTTCCATCGCAGCTTCAATTTTGTGCTATCAAAATGGGAAATAATTAATTTAATATTTAATTTTGACAGCCCTGTCAAAGTGTAATGTGTGAAATATAGTCATAGGAGGATTTAAAAAATCTCTGTCAAAATAAGTTTAACTAATATATTTAATTTGTCAAGTAAATAGTAAAATTCCATTTATAAAATAATAATTTGTGTATAGTAAATACAAAAAAACTATAAATATTTATATAATTGCTGTCCTTTTTGTCCCACATTAAAGACTTACCAATATTGTTTTCCAGGCTTTCGTCAACTGAGTCCTTTGATCCAGTGAAGTGTTTACATCTGCCCGTGTTGGCTAAGCACTTCCACAATGGCCGAAAGATAAATGATTGGGCTCCGGTATTTTATTTGGGCCAGTCCCTGTGACGCCTCGTCCTGGAAAGCACACATAACACATCCTGGATTCGTCACACGGCTGCTGGTGCCTCCGTTAATGTCCTTCTGGGCTATAAATTGCCTCGCGTGCGAGTGTCGCCAAAGTGTTTGTCACAGAATCGTCCGCTCTTCTATTCTTGCCGAGATTTTCGGAGGCGGCGCCCCGACGAGTATATCATTAATTTATTAGCAAACCAAATAGGAATGTTTTTGCTTTCACGCACGCCCGGACACACACGTGTTTCCTCAGGATCCGCAGGACCTTCCCTTCTTTCTTTGTTTTGCCAAGTAACATGGGGCATCCCCACAATTAGCCCTAATGCCGCAGGATACGCTTCCTGTTCGCCCCATCTTTGATATTCGTGTGCCTCTGCCATATAATTTATGACTTTGCACTGTCAATTAAATTCTTTAGAAAATGACAGTTTTGCCATTTGCTGACATCGTGATCCCCTGTTTTTCGTTTTTCGGTTTCTATTTCGGTTCCAGGCAGGTCGCCCCATGATTTATGCATCTTTTCAGACACGGGTTCTTTGTTTTTGAGAGGTTCTGCTGGCAGGGCTCTTTTTTTGGTGGCTACACAGATAAAAAAACAAGAGAGAACGCTATAGTCGGGTTCGTGTCCCGACTATCTAATACCCGTCACTCAGCTACAGGGAGTGCGAACGCTGTGTCGGGTTGGTGTCCCGACTAATAATCGTAACTCAGCTAAAGGGAGTGCGAGGGAGATAGATATATGTTGACAATTTATAAAGCGTATAACTTTTTAATGAATGGTCCGATTTGAAAAATGTCTTCTACATTTCGATAGGTATAAATATACACAACAAAATTGCATTTATACTTTTCGGAAATCTTTAAAGATGTGGGCGCAGGACCCATTTTAAAATCGTTAGTGGGCGATTGTGGGCGTTAGAGGGGGCGTGGCGCTCGGCTAAAATAAACTTGCGCTGCGTAGGAAGCCAAAGAATATGTGTGGGAAATCTCAACCTTCTAGCTTTTGTAGTTTCTGAGATCTCAGCGTTCATACAGACAGACAGACGGACAGACGGACAGACGGACAGACGGACATGGCTAGATCGACTCGGCTAGTGACCCTGATCAAGAATATATATACTTTATGGGGTCGGAAACGCTTCCTTCTAGCTGTTACATACTTTTGCACGAATCTAGTATACCCTTTTACTCTACGAGTAACGGGTATAATAATGTGGTAAATTTTATATTCGCAGATTTAAGTGCCTATGTAGATCTTAAACCTTTGATTTGTACTATTAATGTGAACTTGCAATTAAAAATTTGAAAAATCAAAAAAAGAGAAAAAAGCATGATGGCGACTTTTAAAAATAGAAAAAAAGAGAGCAAAAAGCAAGATGGCGACTTTTAGATATCTAAAAAGAAAGAGGAAAAAAAAACAAGAAGTTCTTGTGGGTTAAAGTGAGAAAAACATATTTGAAGTTCAAACAAAACAATATAATTTTTTTTAAATTTGTATAACATTTTAAAGAGATTTTAAAAACAAACCCCATTTCCTATAATTTTTGTATCAGTGTATAAAACTTGTGTGCTTTTTGGGCATCCAGCGCCTGCAGAGTTGTTTATGTTAATGACCCCAACTTAGGCTTAGAATCTGTTCTCCTTTTTGCGGCCATCGGCATGTGTTTCTGCTCATTGCGAACGGCTTTCCAGATGCCAGATCTTAATAATAGATATGCTCGCATTGTCAGGTGGAACTTATCGCATCGGGCATATATCAAGGAAATTAAAGTGGTTAAAGTGACAACATTCGCCTCCTTCTTTTTCGCAGTCCTGGCTGATTGCGTGACCAGGTTGTGTGGGTTATGGGTTATTGGGGGCTGGGGTTGCTGAAATCGTTATAGTTACCGTGTGTTACCACAGGACCCGCATAAAATGAATGCCCCTGGATTTATGGCAGCTCATCGGTTATTGATGTCGTACCCGAAATAATAAAAAAAAAATATGTACACATAAATGAATTGGGGCACTTTTTAATATCGCGCTTGGCATGAGCATTTTTTTTTCGCCCGTCTCTGGCGGAATTGATAAACTTTCTTTTGCGGGGAAAGCGATTAATACGAATGTTCCAGTTGCAATCGCTTCTTTTCCGTCCGTTTCGCTTATTTATAGAATGTAGTTGGCCTTGCCGAACTTGGGCATCCAATCAATCATTATGAGTTGCTATATTGCTAGCAATTCCGGTTTTTTTTAAAAGCAGCTTTAAGTGAACATAAATTTATAAAGTTAAATTGATTGGTTGCTGTGTGAATTTTATTTACCGCTCTGCATTTTTTGCCTTTTGATTAGCTTTTAAGATTTATGCGATTAAAGTAATATTTAAACAAGCTTTGCAGCAACAATAAATAATAAATGTGAAGAAAAATATTCCAAACTTAAAGAGCAATAACATTTGAATGTGAATGAAAATATATTTAAAGAATTTTTAAATCTCAATTTAAAAGGTTAAAGGTCAACATTTTTTCCTTTATTTTCCGCACATCCAAGTCATATATTTCTTATTTTGGCTTTAGGTTTGGCGGCTTGGTCCGTTCTCAAATCAGATTTTCGCGCCTTCTGCGCTTTTCTTAAAAATTTGCGCTCCACTGAATCGGCAACTCGGCAGACCCTTTACATACATATATAGACCCAAGATATAGAAAGCCAAAGGTGGCGGGGATTTTCACCGACTCGGAACTGGAAGCTGGGAAAATGGGAAACTGGGAAATGCCGCAAGTCAGGCTTATGCTAAGTCGCTCCTGCGTTCGACTGACTTTATGGCATCACGTGCGATGGGCCGACTTCAGCCGGGATTATAAAATATATGTTTGGGAATAGCTGGCGGCGCACTTAACCTATCTTTCGGCTGAGTGGGCGGAACTAGGAAGGATATTGGAAACGCAGAGGGAAGAGGTTCCGGAGATATATCTCTCTTGACAACTGACATTATTCAGATACACACAGCTGTAAAAGTGAAAGCATGTTCGCATATTTTTACCCCTTGGCGTAATTTAACGAGCTCCTAACTTTATGTTTGTTTTTCGTGTACACATTTTGTTTTTATTGGGGCTCGAGAGCAGCTCTTCCATGCTTAAGTGAAACATTTTTAAAGGCGGTGCTTCTTGTGCCCCCTCTACAACAGTTTCTGGTTAATGCGAAAAAAACCCCAAATACATGAAAAAAAGCGGCAAGAATAATAACTGGCATTTGCTTGTTGCTCCTGTTCGAGTTCGTCCCTTAGATCCTGTGGTTGTTTCACCAAAAAAAGAAACAAAAACCCCGCGGCTTTCGCAAATGCACGATGCTTAACTTTTTCGCCAGAACAACTTCTGTTTGCTGTGCGCCATTTGTTTATAAATTTAATTTGTCTTAGGCAAAAAACAGCGACAGCGACGTCGAAGACTTGTTGACTTATCGAGGGTGAAGTTTCCACTTTTCCTTTCGCTTTCCCGCCTTTAATTTTCCAGCTGGCAAAATGTGTTTTGCATATTTGGCCAGGATTTAATGCAAAAGTAAATGCGAATTCATAACCGAGTTAGCAATGTCAGTCCTTGGTACTCAAAAATTTATAAGGCTTCCAATGCGCTTACTCAACAATTTTGTAGCCAACTTGTAAAGCCAGTAAGTGCACAGGAAAAAATCTTAGAGAACAGCCTATAAATTAAAAAACAAATCGCTTTAAAAATAAGTGGATGGTTCAAGGATAAATTCCTTAGGGTTTAATTTAATTAACCTATAAAAATTAATTTATTTTTATAGAGAATCTTGTTTAAATGGCAGGAAACATTTTCTCAATATTTTTTTCAGTGCTTGCACTTGAGCCAAACAATGATTTGTAATATGCAAAATTCCCCTGCATTATTATGGAGAGCCTGAGCGAACTATCACCCAAAAACCACCCACTTTCCCACGAATACTTGAATACTTGAATATATGAACACATGTGTGTACTGGCATGGAGGTCTTTGTGCCCTGGAATTTTATGCGTTATTGAATTTCACTTAAAGGCAACTCATGCTTGCTTATTTATATTGTCTGAGGGCGTGGGGAGGCTTTTGGGCTGGCAAACGCCACTTGAGCCGGGACTTCAGTTTTAGTTTTTTGTCTTCGGGGGCTGTGGGATTTATTTTTTTGGCATGTGTCTGGTCCGCAGGGAGAACCTGCAGAGAATAATATTCATAAGCGAGTGGCTTAAAAAGTTTCGAAAACTCTTTAACAGCCCGAAACTTTTATGATATGTTAAATGTTTGCTACTCATTAGGAGCTCCAAGGAAGGGGAGATATTGGACCAGGAAAAGAGCTAGAGGCCAATTAGAGGAGTTACCTTTGTCTACATATACCTCTGTCTGTTTTAGCCAGTTGCAGTTGCCAACGAGCATCACCAACGGCATACGAAATGGGAAAAGAGCCGGGAATAGAGCACAGTTTTCGGGGCCAATTGACAGGAGCGTCAAGCTGACACGACCATGGCAAATAGAGCGCCGTGTGTGTGGCGGTTAGTGTTGCCAAACACACACTCCAAACAATTGCCAAACAAAAACACCTAAAAACACACACACACATACTGGAGCTGGATGGGCGCCAAAAGGTTTCCAGTTTTCCGCTGG